ATTTAGAAATAAATTTCTCTTAGAAGCGTTTTTAAATTAGTGGAGACTTCCTCACTTTGTATCCAGAATACCACATTGTTTTGGCGTTCCTACTTTCTTACTAGGCTATTCCTTTTCAGTGTCATTTGCTATTTCTACCTCCTACCCCTGGAGGAACACAGGATTTCATTTGTGGATCTCATCCTTATCTATACTCACTATCTTGATGATCTCATTCAGTCTCATAGCCTACTTTTTTAATTAGAAAAACTTTTAAATATCTACAATTTTTTAAATTATAATAAAATACATGTTAACATAAAACTTTCATCTTAACCATTTTTAATTATCCAGTTCAGTGGTATTAAATACATTCACAGGGTTAAGCAACCATCTCCAGAACTTTTTCATCTTCCCCAAATTGAATCTCTGTACTCAATCATCAATAACTCTCCATTCTTCATCTTCCCCCAATCCCTGCAAACCACCATTCTACTTTGAGTTTAATGCATTTGACTATTCTAGAAAACTCATATAATAGGAATCACATATTTGTTCTTTTGTGACTGATTTATTTCACTTAACATAGTGTCTTTCAGGTTCATCCATATTGTAGCATTTGTCAAAATTTTATTCTTATTTAAGCCTAAATATCATCCCATCTTGTATATATGCATCACATCTTGTTTATCCATTCATCTGTTGATAGACACTTGAATTTTTACCAGTTAACTATCGTAAATAGTGCTGCAATGAACATGATTATACAAATATCTGTTCAAGTTCTTGCTTTCACTTTCTGTGTGTAACAGAAGTGGAATTGTTGAAACATATGGCAATTCTGTTTTATTTTTTGAGGAATCACCATACCACTTTTCAAAGTGGCTACACTATTTTACATTTCCATCAGCAATCCAGAAGGAGTCCAATTTCTCTACCTTCTTGCCAATAATTTTATTATTATTTTGATAACAGTCATCCTAATAATGGGTGTGATGTGGTATCTCACTGTGGCTTGTATTTGCATTTCCTTCTCACTAATGCTGAGCACCTTTTTAGGTGAGTCTTATGCTTTTTTTAAAAAGATATCTTTTTAGTTGTAGTTGAACACAATACCTTTGTTTTATTTATTTATTTATTTTTATGTGGTGCTGAGGATCAAACCTAGCACCTTGCACGTGCTAGGTGAACGTGCTACCACTGGGCCACAACCCCAGCCCCTAGTCTTATGCTCTTTAACAGTATCAAAATGCAGACAACTCTCAAATTTTTACCTGCAAACTATACACTGCATTCCAGACCCTCACACAAAGAAAAATCTTAAATTTAATGTGCGCCAAAATGAACTTTCCATCTTCCCCAAACCTGTTTCTTCCATAATCTTTCCCATTCAGTAAATGGCAATTTTTTTTTTACCATTTATGTAGGCCAAAACCAAATTCAATCCTGATTTTTCCTCTCACACCCAACATCACAAATTCTGAGAGCTTTGCCTTCATAATTAACTCAGGATCACATTGCTTCTTATATCTCTTCTACAGCCAAATTGATCCAAGGCACTAATATACCCTCCTGAATTGTTGCAAGAGCCTCCTCCTTGTCCCTGCCCTGTCTTTCTGCAGTCTATTTTCCCACACGGCAAACAAAGAACTTTTTATAAAACCACCAAATCATATAACAGTTTGCTTAAAACCCTCTAGTAGTATTCTACCACAGTCACTAAAAAAGCCAAAGATTTTACTATGTACCACAAAGTCCAGCATGTTCTCTCTCTGACCTCATCTCCTTGCTCAACCTGCTTTAGACACACTTGCTTTCTTCTGGGTCCTTAAACATGCCAGGCATTCTTCATCTCATGATCTTTGTCTTTTCTGTTCTTTCTGCCCAGAAGATTTATCCTTTGAATAATTTCATGATTTATTCCTTGATCTCTACCACATCTCTCCTTAAATATCATATCCATACTAAAGCCTTCCTGAATTATTTAAGTTGTGTTCCTACCCACACCCCCATTTTCTTTCCTTTGCTTTAGTTTTCTCTATAATACTTAATGCCATATGACATACTATTTATTATACCTGCTTGTTTCTCATTACTATAATGGAAATACCCATTGTAGTATGAGAAAGGATTTTTGTCTATTTTATTCACTGCTGTTTCCACTGAACAATATACAACACAAAATAGAACACATAATTATTGTTTGTATTGAATTCTTCAGTCAAAAATTTCCAATTACAAAAGCCTAAAGTTTCCAGTAAGGGGAAAGGTTCTGCATTTTCCTGCAGAGATATGACATGAAGCACACAAACATCCTGTTTTTCTGAGGTTTTACTTACCCTGATTCCAGTGCCATTGTCCTGGATCTGAATCAACTTCAGACCTCCCTCTTTAACAACCACTTGAATACTCGTGGATTTTGCATCTAAACTGGCAAATCAAACAGAAAATAGATTATCAGTCTGCAACTATTCTATTGCATGCATGTATTTTAATATATGTCAAGCAATAGCAATGAACTCTAAATAAATACAAGAGTGCTTGAGTGATGTGTTTTTCATTTGTTTTACACACTCCATGTCTACATCATACGAATTTACATATTGTGTAAGATAGAAAGAAGAACAACATCATTTCTAATAGGTCATTCAGCACTATTTCTATTCTTTTAGGGAAAAAAGTTAAATTCAGAAGTAGGAACCTTTCAGCAAACACATCTTTCTCTCTTCTCAACTAATTTTACTATCAATTTTATCCAGATTTCTAAGTGACTCTAATGTCATTTTTAAAAATTCTAAATGTTTTTTTCCATTATCCCTTCTCTTTAAGAAAATATAGTCAGGTGTGATGGCACATAATCCCACCTCCTTTGGAAGTTAAGGCAGAGGGGTCATAAGTTTGAAGCCAGCCTGGGTTACTAGGGAGACCCTTTCTAAAAAAAGGTTAGGGATGTAGCTCAGTAGCAGGGTGCCTCTGAGTTCAATCTCCAGTACCACCAAAAACAAAACAAAGAAAAACATACGTATGGTAAAGAAAAAAATGGTAAGGCAGAAAGTTCTTTAAGAAGTCAATAAATCTTTCGTGCTTTCACAGAGTAGCCTATACACACAAAGCACCTATTAGACAAAATAAATTCAGCCTGGGGCTGCATGAGAAAGAAGTTATTGACTTGCTCACAGAAAATTCTGTATTCAGAAAAAAGAAAATAAGTTATTTAAACATTAAAGACCTTTCTCAGGAGCCCCTTTATTGATGTTGTATCAGCCATCATGACATATATTAAAAAGAGTCTAACTGGACTCCATATAAAATCTCTGCTTACAGAATTAATTATAAGCCACTGAACTAGTATGTTTAGTTTTGTTGTACAGAATTTGGACAAGGTACAATAATTGGTTTTAAGTTATTCTGTTTATTCTAACACTATAGAAACAAAAGCCAGACAACGACTTATACTACCACCACAAATCAAATGAAAACGTCCCCAGGTTCCATGTTTCTTTTTGTGTGTGTCTCTTCTACCAATTTTCTTATTTTCCCTCTGAGGTCCTTTCTGACCCACTGCTCTTTCAGTCCCATCGCTCTGAATGCTTTATGTTTTTACAATGAATCTCTCTACAAATCTGTCATTCTTCTCCAGAAAGATTTTTCTTTTCTAATTATGTATGGACTTTATTAACATCAAGTGATTTTAATACAAAGGACATGACATAGTTTTTGGGTACTTGTCTTTTGTAAGGTTTACAGTTCATGCCCAATTTTCTTTCCACATATTTTTTTAACATCTTTGCTCCATGTTTGCGACAGGGCTAAGCATTAGAATCAACAGATGCCCTAATAAGTCAGACATCTTCAAAGCACCTCTCCAAAAAGTAAAAGGCAGTGAGGCCACTGACTTGGTAATAAGGGAATTCAAAGTTAAGCCCAACGTCCATTAGCCTGTCTTAAAACTCCAATGATTTATTATTATTTTTAAAAAATATTTTTAGCTGTAGATGGACACAATGCGTTTATTTTATTCCTGATTTTTACGTGGCGCAGAGGATGGAACCCAGTGCCTCACACGTGCTTGGGAGCTCTCCACCACTGAGCTACAGCCTTAGCCCCCAACGATTTATTTTTAGTAAAACTCAACAATTGTGCCTTTGAACACGTTTGATTTCTTGAACTGATAACATGGTATACTCTGAAAGAATTTTTTTTTTCTCCCACGATAAATTTTTATACATCCTTAATTTCGCATATTCTGCATAATTTTAAGTAGCCCTCTGAGTTAACGGTACCACTAAAGCTAGGCCGAACACACCCCCGCTACAGGCGCTCCACACGCCCTAGAATCTAGGTATCGCGAGAGCAGTGGAGAAATTCTCGGTTCCGGGAAAGGAAAAGGCGGGACCGATGCGCGCCCAGGATTCCAGCGGCTTCCAATGACACGGGCCTGCGCCGGATGCGCCTCCGCCCTCGTCACGGAGGCGTGTCCGCGCCATTCAGAGAAGCGGCCCGTTAGGTCGTAAAATCTAAGCGAACCAGGCTCGACTCCCTCCATACCAGTTTTCAATCATCTCTTTGATCGCATTTGCTGGACGCTGAATAACTTCCCCCGCCGCGATGCGATTCACCACTGTCTCGTCTAACCGCCGAATAACCCCCGCCACAAGCGACATTTTGGCGCCAGAGAGGCCCAAGTCGCGTCCAGATGCTCGCCGGAAGTACCTTCAGCCAATCACTTCAGTCCCTCAAGCCCTTGGTCTTCCTTCAATTATGGTTTACACCATCCTGTACCACCCTGTAGTGGCAGCTGTTGATTGGGCAGCTTGAATGCCAATCAAGTTTCTCAACTGCGTGGGCTGCTGGGCCTTTTCGTCTGTTCCTAAAGCTGCCTCGCGCTCGCTTAGAAGGATGTGCGCTTGCGCGTTAGAAATCACTGTCGGCTCTTCCAATTGGTTTGTGGGTCGTAGCTACAGGGACTACGAAATCTCCAGCCAATAGGAACGGAGATTCCATGGCAAAGGCTGGTGTCCGGCTGCTGAGGTGATCTGGCGCAGAGCGCTGGAGCTGCTTGCCGTTAGTCGGGCTCCTCCCCTCGCTTTGCGGCCTCTCTGAGGTTGATCCCGTTCTTGTGTACTCTGGCAGAATGTGGATGACGCCCAAAAGGAGCAAGATGGACGTCGACGAGGCTCTTGTTTTCCGGCCCGAATGGACCCAGCGTTACTTGGTGGTGGAACCTCCAGAGGGCGATGGGGCCCTGTGCTTGGTCTGTCGCCGCCTTGTCGCTTCTACCCGCGAACGTGACGTCAGGCGCCACTACGAGGCGGAACACGAATACTATGAGCGGTATGTGGCGGAGGGCGATCGCGCGGCCTTGGTGGAGCGTCTGCGTCAGGGCGACATGTCGTTGAGCACCTTGCTCACTCCAGAGGAGAAAGCTGCTCGTGCAGGCCTCGGGCTCTGTCGCCTGTTGGCCTTGAAGGGTCGCGGCTGGGCTGAGGGGGACTTTGTACACCAGTGCATGGAGATATTGCTAAAAGAGGTACTGCCGGAGCATGTAGGCGTCTTGCAAAGAATTAATCTGTCTCCAGAGATCACAAGGCAGAGGATTCTGAGCATTGACAGTAATCTACGTTGTCAGCTTTTTAACCGAGCCAGACAATTTAAAGCCTATTCTCTTGCCTTGGACGACCAGGCTTTTGTGGCCTATGAGAACTATCTCCTGGTCTTTATTCGTGGCGTCGGCCATGATTTGGAGGTGCAGGAAGACCTTCTGACCATAATCAACCTGACTCATCACTTCAGTGTTGGTGCACTCATGTCGGCCATTCTAGAGTCTTTGCAGAGAGCAGGGCTTAGCTTGCAGCGAATGGTTGGACTGACCACGACGCACACTTTGAGAATGATTGGTGAGAACTCAGGACTGGTCTCATACATGAGAGAAAAGGCCGTGAGTCCCAACTGTTGGAATGTTATCCACTATTCAGGATTTCTTCACTTGGAACTGTTGAGCTCTTATGACATAGATATTAATCAGATCGTAAATACCATATCAGAATGGATAGTTTTAATTAAGACCAGAGGCGTTAGGCGACCGGAGTTTCAGTCTTTACTAACTGAATCTGAGTCAGAGCATGGTGAAAGGATTAATGGACGATGTCTGAACAACTGGCTTAGAAGAGGGAAATCTTTAAAATTAATATTTTCATTACGAAAAGAAATAGAAGCATTCTTGGTTTCAGTAGGGGCAACAACAGTCCATTTCACAGACAAGCAATGGCTTTGTGACTTTGGCTTTTTGGTGGATGTTATGAACTACCTTCAAGAACTCAGTGAAGAATTGCAAACTAGTAAAGTCTTTGCTGCTTCTGCCTTTGACCATATTTGTACTTTTGAAAGTAAGCTGAATTTATTTCAGAGACATATTGAAGAAAAAAATCTAACAGACTTTCCTGCTTTCAAAGAAGTTGTTGATGAGCTTAAACAGCAATATAAGGAAGATCAAAAAATATTTGATCCCGACAGATATCAAATGGTGATCTCTCGTCTGCAGAAAGATTTTGAGAGACATTTTAAGGACCTAAGATTCATCAAAAAGGACTTAGAACTTTTTTCAAATCCATTTAACTTTAAACCCGAATATGCACCTATTTCAGTAAGAGTGGAGCTGACAAAACTTCAGGCAAATACTAGCCTTTGGAATGAATATAGAGTCAAAACCCTGGGACAGTTCTATGCTGGATTGCCTGCTGAATCTTACCCAATTATCAAAGGGGTTGCCTATAAGGTGGCATCCTTGTTCGATAGTAACCAAATCTGTGAAAAGGCTTTTTCTTATCTGACTCGAAACCAACACACTTTGAGCCAGCCACTGACAGATGAGCATCTTCAAGCCCTGTTTCGGGTTGCCACAACTGAAATGGTTCCCAGTTGGGATGATCTTGTGAGAGGAATAAATGAAGCTAATCTATAAGCCTTTGTAGTACAACATTGAAAGAATACCAGAAGCAAAAATCTGTTTTTTTTTTTCCCCCAAGTTTTCTAATTTGGATTGTTGGAAAACACCAAGCTTACTACAAGACATCCAAATCAATCACAATTCAGAACCTCCTGACAGTTGCCTTTTTTTTCATATGGCAGCATGGGACTGAAACATGAGAATACCACCTTTTTTAAAAAAAACTTTGTTTAATGGAAAAGTCATTGTCTTTTACTTTTATGGTATAATTGATTTTAAGGAGTTTAATATTGACAACATTAGTTGAATTAGAAGTCTGTTTTTAAGGTGTTCTGAGAATATATGCCAAAAATTTAACTTTTATTTTAATGAAGTTTTAAAATTTTGATTCCTGTAGTCTGAAGTTAGCAACCCCTTAAGTGTTTAAACTAATTTGCAAAAACTCACATAGCAAGTTCATGAGTTCAAAAAAAGAATAACATAACATACAGTGGAGGTATTTTGTCTAACAAAATGTTTTGAGACTATATTTTTAAAACATTTCTGAGTCTGAAATAAATATTGCCAGATTTCCTTCCTCTTACCTTCCCCCATTCACCCCAGTGAATCTGATATTACTAACAGAGGAAGTAATCAAAAATTTAGTCAAAGGAGCAAGAATTGTTTTTAGGTGGCTGATTTTAGGAGGCTTCCTGCAATTTGGAGATAAGACTTAACCAATTTCTGGGGGTTTTCCCTGAATTTTTCACAACTGGGGGATGTTTTATCAGCTTGCCTATCAAAGGACTTTGGTAAGTATAGAATCTTAACCTTTGCTAGTTAGCAATTCTTTTTCCTACTCTAGACAGCAGTTTGGCCCTATCAAAAGGGTGAGGAAAAAAACAGCTTTTTGCACTTCATGATGAGGAGGTGTGAGATGTTTTAGCTTATTTTATGTGCGTGTTACCGCTTTATAAAGAATTCCTATTTAAAGGAAACTTTTAAAATGATATCAGATTTTGCTAGTTGCTGGAAATTGATTTATTCTAAAATTTAAGACTATCTCACACGTTTGGTAAAGACAGTGCACAAGTAGAAATATTTAAATTTCAAGAATTGGTCTTATTCACAGATTATAGTAATGCCTCATTTCTAGTAAGACATCTGCCTTGTGCTAAAATAGTTACTTTAAACTTATATTAATTGTGACAAGGCAATCTCACATTAAAGTCCAATATATAAAACTAATTTAAAAACAGGACTTAACTTGTATATCATAGATTCCCAAGTACAGTTTGAAAACTTGTGCTACTAAGTCTTTAACTGTTGCAGCACTTTATGCTGTGGTCACTAATCCAGCAAATTCAAGGAACCAGGAAACAACCAAGAATTTAGAAGGAACTGATGCACAAGCTATCTTAATGGATGCTGTTAGAGCCTAGGAAGCAAAATTGTTTCAGTGCTTCTCAATCAGAGGTAGTAACCCTCCCTTCTAGAGGATGCTACGAAATGTGTAGGGACACCTTTTTGGTTGTCTTATTTGCTGGGGGGGTTTCTGCTGGCATTTCAACCTAAAGACCGCTCCCTCCTGCAGTATATACAACAGTCTGGCATTATGAAGAATTATCTCTCCCTGCCCGTAAACCCTCAGTGTACATATTATGTCAAGAAACAGGGCAAATTACCGGTAGAAGCAAAATTAGGCAAGTTGGGTAAACTGATGGAATACTTGATGGGGAGACTAATTTCAATATTCCAAGGTTAGCTGGTAAGGTGCAATAAAGGTTCCAGTAGCTCACATAATAGCATTTGTAAATCAGTAATTAATTCTGAATCAGATTAAAGGGCTCTCTCCTAGTATACACAATTAGTTTGGGGCAGATAAACCTCTTATATATTAATAATATCAAGTTGAGATTTTGATTAGCAAAGAGTAAGCTCAAATATCTGAAAAGATGACTGTGAAAAACTGAAAAAAATAAGTCTACCGGTAATTTCCCTATAGTTTTTGAGTGTTGCTTTCACAGCAAATGCTTTATTACTTGTGAGAAAGTTTGTAAGACTTGAAGGCTGCTTCTGCTTTCTAATCCCAGTTCCTCAGATATTGAAATCTTGTATATTTTGTGAAGTTCTAGTATGTTTTGCTTAACGTGATAACTAAAATTAGTTTGCACCATATAGTAACTGAGTGGGGAGAGATAAAAGCAAGGATTTTAACATTGATCCTCATAAAAAGAGAATTTGCTATAACTAGTCTTGTTTATTTTTTAAAAAAAGTGTATTTTACTGTTTTCTGTATTAAGTAATTCTGTAGCTGCATGGCAGTCTTTTCTTTTATAAATATATAGCTGTTATTGTTCCTGTTGTATCAGTGCATATAGATGAAATAAGTACCATTTAAAAAAAAAACTGTGTACTTACCAATTACTTCCCCATATCTCCCATTCCCCCTTGTTTCTTGAAAAATTTGCTCTCCTTGTTTTCTGTTTTGCCACTCTGACTGTTCTATCAAGCTCACTAAGTCCTTGTCAATATCTTTACCATCCTTGAACTGTTACTTTAGATTGAGGAGATTTTAGTTCCAGGTATGCTTTCTTAGTCTTCTTTGCAGGCACCTCTTCCCTTAAATATCTGTTCTTCTTTTTTTTTTTTCAAGGCTACCTACTCTCCCTTGCCTTATCTCCCTTCCATCTCCCTAGTCAATCTCATCTCCTTCCATGGCTTCAGTTACCACCTGTATGCAAATACTCCCAAATTCATATTTCTTTTCTGGATTTTTCCCAAGTCATATATTTAATTACTAACAAATCTACCTTGCTGCCTCACAGGCACCAAAACACATCATTGATCTTGACCCCAAACCTCCTGCTCATTGTTCCTCTTTTCTTCAGTAAACAGAATTATCACTACCAACCATCCAATTGCCCTTACTCAAGCCAAAAACTGAGTCATTCTGTTCATGTCAGTCCTATGCTTTAATCATTACCCTTAGAATATAATACAAATTTTTATTTATCTTTCAAGTCTCAGTTTATATGTACCTTCATCTAGGTAGCCTTTGTTGATGCCTCTAGACTAGTTCCCCTGAACTAAACTCCCTAAACACCCTGTTCTTCCTGCCATACACTTAGCTCTTATTACTGGTTATTGATCACTGCTAGACTAAGCTTTACAAGGGCAGGGACCATATAAACCTTGCTCACTATTTTATCTTTAGCAGTTAGCACAATGCCTGGCATTTTAAGAAATGTTTGAATAAATAAATATTTGTGTAGTGTTTTACAATCTTTGAAGCTCTAGCACAGTCGCATTTGACCTTCACAGTCATCCTACCTGTTCACTAGGTAGTTGTAAAACACATTGCAAATTAACAATAAAGCTAAGTTCTTTGTGACTAGGGACCTCATTGTTGTATTCCTAGAATTTAGTGCAGTGCTTAGCATGTGGTTCACAGATGTGAATGTTGTCAAGGAAACAAACTGAGATTGCAGTTTTCCCTAGTAAACAGTGAGTATTAGGATTCAAACCCAGCTGTACTCACATAAATCCACTGTGTAATATTACGTCCATTCATGATATAGTCTTATTTTTCTTTTATTCTAAAGGCAGATTTCCAAAGGAACCTACATATAGAGAGAAAAGATTGGACAACTTTTTAGATTGACCTAAGATTAAATTTCAGTAATTAAAAAGTTACATTCAGTATTAGAGAAAGATAATGCCCCATAAGAGTTAATATCCATTTTTCCTTTTGTAGGCATCAACCCTAGGAGAAAATGGCATGCTATTTATTTTGCTACTTTCCTTTACAGATGATTTCTGGCTCTTCTGGAATTTAAAAGTAAGTAAATTTAACAAAATATTAGAAGAATGACTTCGTCCTCTGGTCACTAGTTATTCAGTTCATTTGCTTTCCCACCTGCATAAGGTTCTTATCATCTCTGCAAGGAAGATGACCCCAAAGTGCTGTATAGTTAATTCATACTTTTAGATTTGCTATATTTCTTTGCTTTCATATTTCCATGCCTCTCTGAACTTAATTTCTGGGTAACAGGCCTTCAGTCTTAAGTAGGGGAGCCATACCCTTAGTCTCTTTCCTTAAACTGTTCTAATTTACAGGATTAACTACCATTATACTCTTAGTTGGATTTTTAATCTGAGTCACATTAATTCATTCAGAGATCTTAACAGTAGATATGGCAGTCATCCAGTGATTTGATCCTTGCTATAGAACTATTTAATCAACCTTTAAGTGAAAGGATTTTTCACTTTTGTCTTATAATTGAAAAGTTGCTTCATTCTACCCAGTAAGTATTTGAGTTTATGATTCTATTTCTTTCCATTTCTGCCTGTAAACTGACCAGTTCTTTTCTGAGTTATTTCTTCTCTACATTTTGTCAGATGCAGCCAAAATCAACCACAAAATAATTTTTCTTTTTATTTAGTAAAGGGTAGATTATCAGCCTTCTAGTTTATCTCAAAGAATAGTTTGGCCTCTCCTTAATAGCAATTGTCCCTGTGTAGGTTATTTCTTTCATCCTCCAGTAGTAATTTCCTGAATGCCTGCCAATTAATCACTAGGCCATTGGGTTCAGTATTTTAGTAACCGCTACAAAATCTTAGGGTTTTAAATAAGTTGTCTCTTGCAACTTGTCTAGGGACTTTGTTCTAGGTAAGGGGTTGGCAAACTACAGCCCATAGTCAAAATCCATCCTGATTTATGTTTCTCTCTCTCTCTCTCTCTCTCTCTCTCTTTTTTTTTTTTTTTACTATTTTTTAATTGTTTTATTTATTTTTTAAAAGTTTTATTGGAGTACAGCCTTGTCCATTTATATATTTTCTATGGCTGATTGTGTTTTACAGTGGCAGAGTTGAATAGTTTCAACAGCAAGTATATGTCTCACAAAGCCTAAAATTTTTACTTTGTGGCCCTTTACAGAAAAAGTTTCTTAATCCTTATTCTTTATTTTCCTCATTCTGGGACTCAGGCTGACAAAGCAGTTACCATCAGGGATGTGGCTGCTCAGTTTGGGAAATGAAAAAAGTTTGACAAATAACTTGTAGACCCTTAAAGTAACACGGCCACACCTCAGTCCTAGGAGCAAAATCCTTCCACAACCAGGGAGGAAAGCCAGAAATATTTGGAAGATAACACTACTGATTAACATGATTGTATTTCTCCATTTATACAATTTTTTCAATATATTTTTGCCTTTTTATTGATGTAAAACTTGAAAGTTGACAAAAATTAAGTGTATGTTTGAATGTACCACCCAGATCATGATAGAAATATTTCTGTCACCCCAGTAGGTGTCCTTATGCCTTTCTCACACACAGATAACTGCTATTCTGACCTGTATCACCATCAGTTAGCTTTACCTGTTTAAAAACTATATAAGTGGAATAATTATATGCACTCTTTCGTGTCTTTGTTCAATATGTTTGTGAGGGTAATCCATGTGGATGTAGTAGAAGCAATTCATTTTTACTTTGTGTTGTATTCCATTGTATGACTCTACTACAATTTATCTATTCTAATGCTGATGGAAATTTGGATTGTTTCCAATTTGTGGTTATTATGAATAAAGTTGCTATGAAAATTTTTGTGTCTTTTAGTGAACATGTTCCTTTTGGTATATTCATTGGTAGCTATTCGGCTTCCATGTTTCCTTCATACAGGTTCTTTGCCACAGCCACCAGAATGATCTTATTTTAAAATAGAAGGTCGACAATGTCCATTCAATGCTTAAAACCCTCTTCTTGACTTCATATCACAACCCATAAAATCCAAGGTCTTAACTGGGCATAGTGGCACATGGCTGTAATCTCAGCTGCTCTGGAGGCTGAAGTGGGGGATAGCGATAGCTTCAGTCCAGGAGTTCAAGATCAGTTTTAGGCCAGGTGCACATATAATCTCAGAGATTTGGGCGGGGCAAGGTGGTTGAGAAAGGATAATAGGTTCAAGGACAACCTCAGCAACTTTGTGAGACCCTGTCTCAAAATTTAAAAAATTAAAAAGGCTGGGTATGTAGCTCAGAGTTAAAATGCCCCTGGATTAAATCCACATCCCCCCTTTTCCCCCCAAAAGAAAGAAAGATAGAAAGAGACCAGCTTTGGACAACGTAGAGACCCCATCTTTGTTTAAAAAAAAAAAATGTCCAAAGTCTTAATCAGGGCCTACAAGTTCCTGCACAATCAGTACCCACACATATCCTTTTTCTTCCTACTCTGTGTTACATCTTATTCTTTATCCCTCTCCTCACTATGCTCTATACCAGACATTGCTTGTCAACTTGGGAATCAAGATAAATGATTTAGCTCTGTCCTTAAAAGAGGTTGTAATCTAAGTAGATAATTGTTTCTTTTAGTTGCTGGGTACTGAATCCAGAACCATGTGCATACTAAGAATAGATCCTACCCTTGAACTATACTTCTTATCCCAACAGTTTTGACATAAGCAAAAACACTGGTTTGTGGTAAATTAATTTCCCCAAATAACACATTTAGAGATTAAATTACAAAACCTGGATAAATTTAAAGAAGTAGGAACTTTGATATATTTTAGTTATACTTATTGTGGATTAGAGTTCGTTAACTTGATTATGACACTATTATAATTATTTGCTTGCTCAAGGGCTAGGTGGGGCATGGGAATTGGGGATAGAGGAAGGAGGAAGGCAATGGAATAAATAAGTACTACTAGTTAAATCCAAAATAGCAATCATAAAAGGGACCTCTTTAAATATACCATTGTTGGTACAGTACTGGTAGTTATAATGTAACTGATGAAATTTGATTATTAAATTCTCATTTTTACAACTTTTTTGATGTGCAATTGAAATATAAGAAGCCACACGTTTAAAATTTGATTAGGTTTGACATACACAAAAGTGCATAAAATCACCATAATCAAAATAATGAATGTGAGGCTGGGGTTGTGGCTCAGCAGTGGAGCACTTGTATGTGAGCCACTGGGTTTGATCCTCAGCACTGCATAAAAATGGATAAACAAAGTGGAGGTAATAATAATAATGAATGTCACTCAAAAGTTTGCATTTGTTTTGACCAAGGGAAGGGAAAATTAAGGGGGTCATGGGGAGACTTTGTTGAAAAGAGATGTCTCAGTTCACATTGTAAAAAATTACCATAGTCTAGGTGGCTTAAGTAACATCTCACAGTTCTGAAGAGTGGGAAGTTAAAGATCAAGGTACCCTCTGATCCATGTCTGGTGAGTGAATACTTCCTCTGGTGTACAGATGATCATCTTTGCATTGTATTCTCACGTAGTGGAGGGCAGGAAAAGAGAAAATAAGCTGTCGTCAGCCTGGGTTGTGGGTCAGTTGTAGAGTGCTTGCCTAGCACGTGTGAGGCACTGAGTTCAATTCTCAGCACCACATAAAAATAAATAAAGGTATTATGTCCATCTACAACTAAAGAAATGTTTTTAAAAAGCTCTCAAGTCTTTATAAGAGCACTAATCCCATTGTGGAGATTCCATCCTTTTGACCTAAATGCTTCCCAAGACCCCACCTCTTAATGTCATCACATTGAGAATCAGGATTTTGCCACACAAATTTGGTGGTGGATGTTTTGTATGTAGTAAGAAAATACTGGAATACCTTTCAGAACTACCATTGTCTTCTCTCTCTGCATCTGCCTTTCTTTTTACCACTTTGCTAGTCAGCCTTTCTTTTTATCACTAGTCAGCCTTCATACATTTCCCTGACTTCTATCACTACCACACTTCACTGCCACTGCCACATTCTCTTAATGTGTCAATTACATATTCCTGGGTAGGACCCTACGGAAGTCCAATCTTTGATGATGCCTTTCAGAGGCCAGGCATATACCCATAGTGAAGTGAGTGGTGGTTATGAAGGGGAGAGTCCAATAATGTATTTGATGGGGCTTCCTGGTTGTAAGAAACCAACTTGTACTAACTTAAAGGGGAAAAATGAAGGAATGATTAGGGACTGCAGGAGGGAAAAAAAAATCCCCTGGAAGCCATGTGAGAGTATTGAATTCAACAATCAATTGACAATTGCTTATTGAAGGCCTACTAGCGCAGTGGAGATTCAGCAGTAAATCCAAATAAATTTTCTCACATGAATCTTGACTGTGTCCTTTTTGTATAACTACTTTGTCCTAGTTTTGATTACTCATTTTCTTTATGGGAGAACATAGTTGTGACTGAATGATTCTTCTTAAGGGATGCATAATACCATAGCCTTAGACCCTCAATCCTAAGGAAGGAATCCTAAGAGGAGGAAACTTTCTGGAAGGTTTTGAGCCAGGTGGACACTCAAAGAAATCCCAAAGAATTTATTATTTACTGTAGTCAAAGTTTTCCATGACCCCCTCTGAAGCAGAATTTATGGATTTGTTAAAAAGGTCCATAGAAGTAAGAACTAAAAAAGAGAAAAATGGTTTTATAGAAAGATCATTTATTCCAACTTCTTTACAATGTAAAGAAAGTGGATCCTACAGAAGACGTTAAGGTTATCTTGTATTATTCAGCAGGACCAGGACAACAGCCCTTTCCTGAACTATTTCAGTGCTTTCCCCCTTGTGTCATTTCTGTAATGACCAGACTGGCCTATGCCTCTATTTCTTTTATGGGATCACCTCTTTTCTTTGTGGAAGACCTCAGAATCCTCATAGTCTTGACCTTTGTTTCTAGCCTGTCATTAATGGCTGAGACTGGGTATCTCTCTTTATACTTTAGGAGTCTAGAATTCTTTGAGATATCAATATGTTAGATAAAAATTAGAAGATTTTCATATTGTGATAAGTATTTTGAAAGGCTTTTAAAAGCACAAATATTACCTGTATCTAGAGAGGGTTTAAAAAATTTTATCTGAAAAGAAAGAGGCTAATGTCACTTTAGATGTTCTTTGACAACTTTTCCATTTCATCTTTGTTTTTTACATATCAAACTAATTTTAATATCTTTGAGTTTTCTTTGAATATTTTCCATTTAAGTTTTCAATGTATTGAGTTATTCGTGGCATTTTCTCTTTTCTCCTCTGTATCTCTGCTTATGTTTCCTCCCATTTGTTTGAGCTTTTCGTTTTCTTAGCCTCACTAGATTTTTTAAAAATCTTTTTCAAAGAGCTTGCTTCTTCATTTATATATTAGTGTTATGTCTTAATTTGTTGATTTCTGCTTTTATTTTCTTTAATTTTTTTCTGTTTTCTTATACTTTTTTCCATTAGATTATTTTTCTATATCCTTGACATTATTAAGTAAAATAAGAGTTATGTGAATACAAGCATGTGATACTGTGATAGTCTGATAACCAAGATGGCCACTACATTATTAATGGGTGGGTAGCTTATATAGTGTGGATATGCCGGATAAAGACATGATTCATGTCCTACCAGGGCAGAGCAGTACAGTGCAAGATTTCATTATACTACTTAAAACAGATCACAATTTAAAACTTATGAATTATTTATTTCTGGAATTTTCAATTTAATATTTTTGGACTGGAGTTGACTATGGGTAACTAAAAGGTCTGAAAGTGAAGATATGGAAAGCCAAACTGCAGGTAAGGAGAAGGATTACCTAGTCAAATTTATAGAGACAGAAAGTGTAAGGGAATGTGAGTCTTATTATCTAATGGTACAGAGTTTTAAAGTTTTGCAAAATAAAAAGAGTTCTGGAGATGGATGGTGGTAATGGTTGTATAACATTTTGAATGTACTGAGTACCACTAAACAGTACAGTTAAAAGTGGTTATGATAGTAAATTTTATGTGTATTTTACCACAATATGTTTTTTTAAAAAGAATCAAAGGGTATAGATCAGTGGTAGAGCACTTCCCTAGTATGCATAAGATCCTGGGTTCAATCCCAATATTACTAATAAAGAATAAATTTTAATAATAATCAAGTGTAAGTACCCCATAAAATTAAACATAAACCTATCCTATGCTCCAGCAATTTCATTCCTATTTGCCCAAGGTAAATGAAAAATGTCCACAAAAAGTTTGTTTTTTTTTTTTAATTGCTTTTATTTTTTAAATACATGATAGCGGAATTCATCACAATTCTTATTACACATATAGAACACAATTTTTCATATCTCCGTTTGTATATAAAGTATGTTCACAATCAATTCATGTCTTCATACATGTACTTTGGATAATGATGTCACAAAAAATTATTTGGTCAAGAATGTTCATGGGGGGCTGGGGATGTGGCTCAAGCGGTAGTGCACTCGCCTGGCATGCATGCGGCCCAGGTTCGTTCCTCAGCACCACATACAAACAAAGATGTTGTGTCCGCCAAAAACTAAAAAATAAACATTAAAAAAAATATTCTCTGTCTCTCTCTCTCTCTCTCTCTTTTTTTTTAAAAAAAGAATGTTCATGGTAGCTTTATCTGTAATAACAAAAAAACTAGGAACAAACCCAACATCCACCAACAAAAATGGATAAATAATATGTGTTATATCCATACAATGGAATACTAGACTGGAACAAATGCACATAACAATATGAATGTCAAGAACATCCTAAGCCAAAGAAACCAAAGGAAACACTGTTTTTATGAAAATCAACAACAGAAGAATCTAAACTGTGGTAGAAATC